TGTGGCAGGCACCTGTAGTCCCAGCTACCTGGGAGGCTAAGGCAAGAGAATCGCTTAAGCCCAAGAGTTGGAGGTTGGAAGTTGCTGTGAGCTGTGATGCCATGGCACTCTACTGAGGGCAACATAGTGAAACTCTGTCTAAAAAAAAAAAAAAAAAACCCCACAAAAAACAACCCCCCCACCCACCCAAACTGAGCACTCTCTGAATATAAGAGAAATTGGAACAAACTATAACTGGGATCTCCCAATGATTTTATTGAGGTAACTCTTCCCAATTTTATACATATATGCATTTATATATACTTAGGAAAGCTAACCAATGTTCTAAGGCACTTGGAATTGTGCACAGCAAGGTAGCCTATCATATTATACAACTAAATAGAGCATAATTTTGCTTTTTAAATAACACAAACACTGGTACAGAATTTTAAAAAAAGAGAATACAGAGTCTTTCTTTCAGGTTACAATAGTGGAATACATGTACATATGTGTGTATACCTGTAGATATCTATACCCACATACCATAATACAGTACAGATCAGAACAACAACGAAAGAGAAACTGCCGTGGGAATCAGTGGGTAGTTCCAGTTATTTACACTCACAGATATTATACCTGTGTAATATATAGGACTAGCTCACTCGCTGGAAATCAGGAATCATTCAGTCAGTCTGGCAATGATCACGCCTTACCATCCTCGCCACTTTAACCGAATGAACGCCTATAGTCTGTTATTGAAAAATCACCTTTACACAGAACAAAATAAAGGACTCGTTTGACTTTTTAGTAGGTACAAAATCTGTTTCAGAATGTTTTGAACACACCGGCACATTTCTAAGCCATGGAAGAAACATTTAGAAAAGAAAAAAAAGAGACTTTAGTGCCTATATTTTAAAGGATGAAAGTGGTTTAACCCTCGATTCATTCTGATTATTTCCGAATACTAGTTAGCATTGCAGTGGCAATTTCTCATCACGGAGGCTCTTGAAGCACGCTAATATCATAACTAGAACAAAAGCATTCATTAAGGGAAAAGCCCCCCGAATTGGCAAGTGGTACAAATATTATTGGCATTTTAATATACCATAAAATTGACCTGAGGGTGGAGTGGCATTCTGCCTCCTTTACGCCTTTCAATTTTTTCTTAAAAAAAAAAATACTGCATTAAAAAAGATAAGAATTCTGAAGCACCATCTAAAAGTTGACAATGTGACCACCTTGATTGACTCTGAGTTGTTCCACCTCCAAAACATTTCAGAAATTTTAACATTTTAAAAAATGATAGTGGCTAAATTAATTCCATTCCCCTAGCCACACTCGAGCCAAATAATTTCAAGACGTATTTGCCATTCCGTTTGGGTGATAAAAAGCCCAACAATGCGTTTCTGTGCTGTGGGTACAGTTTAGTATTGTTTCACGTAGGTAAAATGCGTTTTGCGTGACCATCACGGAAGTCCGCACCATATGCACGCAATCCGCAGTTAATCCCCATCTCCGTCATAGTGCAGTATTCACAAATCTCATTAGAGGAGTTGAACCGCGTGACTATGTCTATGCAGGGAGAATTCAAGCATTGGCATGTGGATTAAATGCTTCATTAATAGGATGATTCGGAACTCATGGGCTGCAGCATTCCCAGGTGAAATCTGAGGGTGATTTCTTTCCAAAGCCCACCAGCTTTGCTTATGGGGACTGTTAGTCGTTGTGTTTGTGTTCAACCCATGCAACAATCCTCAGGACGCTGACAAGGACTATGACCACTACTGTAGTTCTAAAGCAAAATTGTGAGGCAGAAAAAAAAAAAAAGGCTTGCTTCACGCAACATCTCTCCTTTAAGTATATACAGGGACCAGGCCAAGTCACTATGTCACTAAACTGCCCAGGCTGCCTGGTAACCTCCTCCCTGAAGAACTAGCAAATGTAAAGCTACGATGAAGCAGAGGCTTGAACAACGGAATTCAGGGCCCAAAGAAATAAATGCAAGGCAGCAGAGACAAGATTTGGGGGTAGGCACTTCTTTTGTGTGCTCAAGTTGCAGTAGACAGTGGTATTCAGGGGAGGTGGTACCACCCTTCTGGGAAGGGCAGTTGATCGTGAGGGAAGGCTTTCTACTTTTGAAGTTTATAACAACTGGGAATGCTACAGGCATTGCATCAGCGGGGACCTAGGACATTAAACATCTGGCGATGCATGGAACATTTCTGGGCAGCAACGAATTGCCCAGCTCCAAATGCCAAGAGCACCCCCACCAAGAAACAATGACCAACAGTGCTTTGCTCATATGTGCAGCTGTGCTAGCAATTCGACAAGCTGACATTATGTGTGCAGTAAATCCTACCATAACTGAAAGTGATCCTTTCTTATAGGGTTGGCTTTAGGTGGGAACAGCTGCCACAGGAGTCTCCATCTTTTTTCCAGAAACTTTACAATGTACACAATGAGATTTCTTAATTTGGGATGACCTTGTCTTCAAAAAAAGCTGCTTCCCAGAAATGCTAATGGTGCTTTCCATGTCTATATAGACCTTAGCCTTAATGATTACAAAAAGTAAATGGACAGTGAAAACGAGAATGATTGGAGGGTATTCTACCTTCGTCCTCACCACCACTGGTCTCTAACACTCCTCTTTGAAACCTGGGTTTTAATTATCAGAAAGATGTCCCTATTAATTCGATGATTTCTTCTACATCGCTTTTCCCAAATTCATTCTGCTTTGTCAAGTAAAACAAGCTCGGCTATCCCAGCAGGAAGTACGGAGCAAACACTCAATAGTGAAAGATTAGCTATTTCAGGAGGCCAAGGGACAATTTGTCCATAAATTGAATCTAATGGGGTTCCTCACTCTTTACCCATACTCTAATGATGTGAAGAAATTCACTCTTATCTCAAAGTCTAACACACACTTTTGCTAGGAAGGCTAGGCTTCACATGATTGAAATTTTTAGAAATGCTCAAGACAGTTCTTTTGTGCTGAGGAAAATGACATAAATTCACATACCTCGCACTATTTTAATTCTGTCCACCTACTCTGAGGAAGATTTCTTGCTCTGTGAAATTTGCTACTGGGACCACAACGAATCACAACTTGGTAAGACAAAGACGAAGAGTAAGAAAAGACTGAAGACATTTTTGAATTGAGAAAGGTATAAAGGAAAGCTCTCACTGCTTGAATGTGGATGTACTACTACTCTGTGGCAACAAGACAGCCTTTTTCTACAATTCTTGAAAGTTGTGTCTGACTCCATAAAGCATAAATAAGATGCCTGTTGCATGTCAATGTGGTAGATGTCAGGATATACAGTGGAAATGCAGATTTTTTTGTCTTTTAAGAGTAAGCTAGTATATACCGGTATATAGGATATATATAAATATTTGCCAATCCAGCAGTGAATTAATTGTAGGGTGTAAAATCTGACTTTTTTTTTTTGACCTGGATTATAAGGACTCATCTCTCATTTTCAATATTTGGTTGATTTCTGAAGAACGTATTCAATTCTTCTATTTCCTTCAATATGTTTTTACTTACATGTAAGAACTTCCTACTACTAGAACATATTTACTAGAATTAGAGAAAGGTAAGTGAGTCGACTGGTTATGCTCCGAAAGCACATGAAGATGAACCAGAAAGTCCATTTTTCTGTGTAATTCAAAGAGACAGATGTGTTCGTGTTTTCCTCTATTTAAAATAGCCGTTCAAATACCCTAAATAGTTTGCTGAATATTATAGATTTCAGTGAAATAATCTAAGGAATTCTACCTAACATAAAAAAATGCAAGACACTTCACACACGTAGGAAATTGTCAGGCAAGCTGCCCCAAATGAACACTCGTCACCAGAGAACTAATTTTGTCAGACTGTCTGGTAATGACCTGACAAGGGCCACCGTGCATCTTCTTGCTACCTTAGTATTGGTGCTTTTTGTCCTCCTTTTAAAAAGATGGACAGCATCACTTTTTTAACCCCCTTCTTTTTTTTTTTTTTTTTTTTTTAAATTTGTCCCTTTTGATTGGAGGGTCACTTTGCTTTAGCTCTGGGACCTTCCTGAAGACGGTTTGTTTTCTTCCTTAATCACATCTCGGGCACTCAGGAAAACCCACTCACTTCCTCTATGTCAGACTAATGCCATACTTTAAGTAGTGGAAAATCTGGAATTGTGTTACTCCAACTCCAAAAAGAAGTGCAGTTCCCAGACATATTTATTTTCCTTATAGACTGTTCACTTATTGGCTGGATTGGCAAAATACTGACAGTAGGCAGGGGCATGATTAAATGGTGGGTGGTCCAAACCCTACATCCTCTTGGGGCTGCCAGGCAAGAGACCTCTGGCTGGGCCGCTGGTGGTGATACGCAGCGTCTCTGTCTTTTAGAATGCACTATTAAAACAGAGCTGTATCCTGTAAAATACCGTTTGGCTCATAATCCTTTAATTCTTAACATAGTTTTAATTTAATGAATCATTCTAATGAAATAATTGGTAGTTCCAATTACTTAAATAGTAGCCTACCAGTGATTAGTTATTTTTTTTTTAATTTTTACTTTTAATCTTCTAACTTACAAAATTTTCTCTAAATGCGTCAATGAGTCTGAAGAAAAGCTGTGGGTAGTTCAGAAATCTCACATATACAATGAAAACCAGATTTTTACTTTTTATATTAGGAGTATCTCATCATAGAGAATAAAGAAATTGCAGCATACACACCACTAGTGGGGAAAAAAAATGGTTCCTTTTATCAACCAGCTGGAAACTTACTAGGACATGCATCTTGAGTGATAAAATGGCGATAATGTATCCTATTTACCATTATAGAGAGGCCTTGTGATTAAAATGTTTTAAAAAGTGATCAAAGATCATAAGCATAGAAAATTAAAAGAAACATATTTTTTGGTATTTCCCCCAAGACACTAAAATGATAATACAATAAAATATCATAAGGAAAAGGATGACTTTGGAAAAAAAAATTAGAATAAGTTCATTTTTTATGGCGGGATTAAAACACTTTAAGATAGACAAGACTTCAGGCAGAAACAGATACTTGGCCATACAGAAAAATGTTTTTCAAAGCAAAAGCATGTCTCACCCTGTCAGTGAAATGACTATAGTGCAGACTCCAGGTTTATTTCATTAATGCACATAGCTGAGGGCAACGACAGCCATGAGAATCCTGATTACTTTTCTTAGTTATAAAATGATTCTGGGTTTTGATAATTGGCCAACTGGGGCTAAAAAAGGTTTGTTCTTTTTTAACCAATGGGCTTCTAAGCCAGATAACAACTTTGTAAACAAAATCATTCAATTTCAAATGGTTCTTCAAAACACCAATGAGTGGCAGATCTAAATGTATCCACCAGATTAAATGCTTACGTGTGAGTTGAAATAGAAAATTATGGTCTTCCATGTTATGAACCAGAGAAATATTAGAAAATTCTAGTCCAGGCTCTGAGAATAAAATAAGGTCTACTTAGGTGTTGCCTTGCTATAAATTTCATGTGTTTGGGGACCAAACAACTGAAAGGACAACTGAATGCCAGGTAGTATTTATACATGGTCCTATGCATTTGGGAGCAGAAGTCATGCTGTGCTCATGACTCCATGGAAAACAGCAAAGCAACTACAGAGGGCTCTTCATGTAAACAATACTGACTGTAGGCTCACAGGGACACCTTCCATGACTTCAGTCTCACTGATTGCTTTACACTGAAAGTGAATACTGTACTACATGTATGGATGCTGCCTGCAGATTCTTAAATTACAAGACAGGGTTTTCCTCACACCCCACATAGCAGAAACTTTGTGTTCTATGGAGCCTTTGAGTGAGTATTATTTTGATCTCTGTGCTTTAATTTTTTAAATAGCAGCAACCCAACTTTTTTTTTTTTTTTTTTAAATGCAGCACTGAAAAATAACTGGTCCTTTGCATTCCCACTCAGAACTAACCACAGGCAGCACATTTGTACATCTTGCTTACATTTTAACGCTGGGTTCCGGGTTTTTAAAAGGGTGTAATGACTGTCAATATTATCTCCGTTAGAACAAGTGTGGGTGCATTGACATTGAAGATAATTAAGACAGGGAAAGAGCAAAAGATTGACTTCTGAAGCTTGCTGCAGTTTATAGGGTCATATTACATCTGCCTTTATTCCCGGTCTTGCTCTCCTGGTGGAAGGTTGGTACACTAGGAAAGGAGTATAAAAAAAGGTCAAGTGTGTATTGCTATGCTATTTAAAGCATGCAACACAATTTGGGGAGGCATGCTTGTTAAGAGTCAATAGAAGCCTCTTGCATTTAAGAAAAAGATGCATGAAAACATTCAGACGTTTCTGGCAATTGGATTCACTGGCACAACATAAAATAATGGTACTGCACTGTACCAACAAAATGGTGAAACAAGAATATTCTTCTAGGATCAAGTCTTTAAAGAATCCATGCTGAATAATTAGATTCCCAAGTCCCTTAATAAGCTCTCAGCTACCAAACGCCTACTTCAAAAATACATTTACGTGTCAATTTTCTCTTTTCTTCATTAACATAATGAAATATTTCTTTTCCTTTCTGGTCTGTAATTCCTACCCCTTTCCCACGCCCACCAATTCCAATCTCTTATTTTTCTTGAACCTGCATTATAAAATTTGGCTCTCTGGTATAGCCGGCGATTGTCTTCTGCTCATCTTCTTTGATTAAAACTCTTGATGAAGAATAACTGATGTAACCATGGTGTCCCCTACCATGCACAATCCAGGCCGCGAGGGTCACCGCATCCTCCCTTTGCTTGTTGGCCCCATCTGGGCCGCACAGGTGAGGAGCACTTTGCAACACAGCCGAGTCACACACTTCCTTCACCAGAAGTTAAAGGGAAACACACACGTTCCAATCCCAGTGCAATATCAGGTGTTCAGGAAGCAGGGCTTCCCCCAAAGATGATCAGTTTATGTCTCGAAATAGTCTCATGTTTCATTACGGACGATGAAACCTGGAGTAAGAAAGAGAAACTTTTGAGTCTGCGGTATGAGGAGCGCACTCTGCTTTCAGTGAGCCGCATGAGGCATGGTAATGTTTGTGGCTGAAGTCAGCTCGAGAGTCCCCCAGCGGAACTAATCCTCCTGACAAGCTGCCATTCACTTCGCTCCTTCACCCTCCATGTTGAAAGAGTCGACAAGTCCTGCCTCGATTGCTGGGCTTTGAGTCATTAAAGTTGTTATAACAGAATACTGTCATACATGTTACCTTGGAAACCAGAGATGACCCTTGCATAAAAAATGCTGGTTATATCCTTCAGGTTACAGGGCAATCAATATACGAAACATCCCTGTTGTTGAGAGTCACGTTCTAACCCCTTCTAAGCAGAGTGAGATGTTTCACCATGGGATTTAGGTCATACCTGCTCTGTAGTTCTATAAAAGGAAAACAACGAATAGTCATTTCATTAGCTTCAGCCTCCCATCACCTGGGATGGCTGACCCCCAGTCTACCTTCTGGATGTGACTTCTGAGCACCTGCTGGGGATTTCCACCCAGATGTTCTGCCGTGACCAGAACATCTTACTTACATTCTTACTAAGCGTGTCCAGAAAGCTTTTCTTGTTAACTTGCCTTCGCACTCTCTATTTTGTTTGATGTCTTACCTTTTAAAATATTTTTAGCCTAGAAACCTCAGCTTTGCAATTCATGTCCCTCTTTTATCCTTCATGTCCCGTAAGTCAGCAAGTCCTGCCTCGATTGCCCCGTCTTGGAGTCATTAATGTCCTGGCCACTTTGGCTGGCTCTACTTGCACAATCAGCTTGCTGGCCAGCTAGCTGGCGGCACTTCCCTCCCTGCAGGTCCTAAACATGCCTTGGATTTTTGTAGCCCGGTGCTTTTGAACATTCTCTTCCTCAATACTGTAATTCCCTCTCTTTGTTTCCATCTTCAAGATCAAGGTCAAAAGCTAGCCTCTCCCTAAAGCCTCATCTGGTCTGGCTCTTCAGGCGACTTCTGTGATTCCACGTACGTGCAGCTCTACTTGGCCCTCCCCTCTGTCTTCTGTCCCCGCACGCTCACCTGCCCTGGGTGGCTCATCAGTCTGCTGACCGGTTTCTCCATCTCAAGCTCCCTCCATCAAATCTATGCTTGAATTTTAGCCTTATAACATATTAACCCCATCATTTCTCTCCCTCCCTCCTTGCTTCTCTCCCTTCATTCTTTCCTCTCTCCTTCCCTCCCTTTATTTCTTTTTAAGAGTCTTTTTAAGAGTCTTACTCTGTTATCCAGGCAGGAGAGCCATGGCATCAGCCTAGCTCACAGCAACTTCCAACTCTTGGATTCAAGCGATCCTCCTGCCTCAATCTCTTGAGTAGCTGGGACCCAGCTACAGGCATACAGCATAATGCCTGGCTCATTTTTCTATCTTCCTGAGCTCAGTGGACCCTTCCATATTGGCCTCCCAGGGTGCTAGGATTACAGGCATGAACCACCTCACCTGGCCCATTCTAGTTCTTTCTTAGAAGCTTTGTATTAGTTCCCATTTCCTACAAAATAAAATTTAAATTTCCTACAGTGGCAACTGCGCCTTTTAGAACGTGGCGCAAGCTATGTTTCTAGCTATAGCTCTATCATGAACCCCAATTGTCTAAGCTCCGATCATTTGCCCCCCAAATGCGTTTGTGCTCATGCTTTCCTTCTTTCCTTATCTCTCTTCCATCTCCACGTTGTTCAGTCTTACTCCCTGAGTTCGCCAGACTCCCCTTTCTCCCCTGCTCCGGGAAGCGTTGATGGCTCTCACTTCTGTGTTCCTGTAACCTTTGGTTACACCCCGACTGCTCACATGTGTACTCTTTGCACAGGCGTGCCGCTGCTGTTAGATGGTGAGAAGCTGAGGGGAGAATTGTTCTTATCCACTTTTATATACTCGGGGAATACAGAACCTCATCTGGAGTGGTGCTGAATAAATGTTACTGTGTTAAATGGATCTAAGCAATACAAATGAACAATGAAAGACCTAAGACAAGATCGACCACAAACTGCTAACTGGAGAAGATGCTGGATGGATACAGGGGATTTTTTATTACCTTTGTATGTTGGAATTTCCAAACATCAAAATAAAAATCAGATATGTCAAGCTTTCCAAAACTAGCCAACAAGCTGTTACTCAAGAAGGAATGTGTTCTCTTTGAGTTCAGCTCTTTATCTCCTCCTGACCATAACCATGGGCATGGTGGGGACCTCCACCCCTGTGTTCGTTAAACAAAGGCAATGTCACCCTTCCAGTCACAGGGGCCTTCTCTCTGCCTCCTGATCACGCAGAATTCCCTCCCACCCGGACGCTAAGCTAGGAAGGCCACAAGCTCTCCCTTCTACATTAGATAGAATGTTTTTCTCCTCCCCCAGTGGTGGACTCAGAGCTCCGTATAATCATTTAAAATCAAAGAACACATTTTATCTCTGCAAGAGACCCCTATATAGTAAATTTTAGGCATTAACACAACTGGATTTGGGAATAACTAGAAACTTGGTTAAGCATTTCACATTCCCAGGCTACACTTTGATTGCCACTGTTTCTTCTCAAACTTTTAAAAGTGACTAGAAAAGCATACACAGTGTGCTCAAGCAATTCTCCTGCCCCAGGCTCCCAAGTAATTGGAATTACAAGCATGTACCACCACACTTGACTATTTTTTTTTTCTATTTTTTGTAGAGCTGTGGGTCTTGCCTGTACTCAGGCTGGTCTTGAACTCCTGGCCTTAAGCAATCCTCCTGTCTCAGCCTCCCAGAGTGCTAGGATTATAGCATGAGCAATCCTGCCAGGCCCACAATTTAATTTTTTTTTGAGACAGAGTCTCACTCTGTCCCCCTTAATAGAGGGACATGGCATCAGAGCTCACAGCAACCTCAAATTCTTGGGCTCAGGTGATTCTCTTGCTCAGGTTGGTCTCGAACTCCTGAGCTCAATCAATCCTCCTATCTCAGTCTCCTAGTTACAGGCATGAGCCACCACGTTCTGTCACATAATTTAATTTTTAAGAATTTAGGCTGGGCTTGGTGGCCCACACCTATAATTCTAGCACTCTGGGAGGAGCCCAACACAGGAGGATTGCTTAAGGCCAGGAGTTCAAGACCAGCCCAAGTAAAAGTGATTACCACCCCCTCCCCCAGCATCTCTACTAAAATAAAAAAACAAAAACTAGTTGGCTATTGTGGCGGCATCTGTAGTTCCAGTACTTGGGAGGCTGAGGCAAGAGGATTACTTGAGCCCAAGAATTTGAGGTTGCTATGAGTCATAATACCACAGCACTCTATTGAGGATGACAAAGTGAGACTGTCTCAAAAACAAAAAACAAAAAAAGGAAGAATTTACTTATCTTCCTGTAAATTCATTCAGATAATATAAAATTCATAATTACTCACAAAGTAAAATATTATTTTCTTTCTTTCTTTTTTTTGGTTGCAGATTTTGGCAGGGGCTGGGTTTGAACCCACCACCTCCGGTATATGGGGCCAGTGCCCTACTCCTTGAGCCACAAGCACTGCCTGAAATATTACTTTCTTGTACCTCCCTATTTGATATAGAAAGAAATCCAAAATAATTCATTCTCCCTTCAAAGAGTTTAAAAGAGTTTCACTGTCATGCCACACACACATAGGTTAAACACATGAAGAAGCTCTGTTTAATCACAGTTCCTTGTTCTGCCTGAAAGGCCAGGACCCACAGTTGGCTGGGCTCTTATTATTCCCAAACCGGAGCCATGCTTTTGATTCTAGGGGCTCATGCTGCATCTTACAACTCTTTTTAGTTTTTGTCCAGGTAGCAAGCGAACAGAGCATCCATGAAAAGGCAATTCCACTCCAAAAGCAACTTTCCCATTCTATGGAGGGAAAGTTCCTTAAGGGGACTCCTTAATTAATTTTTACTGCAGTCTCAAGTATAGGTCCTGCTGTGTCACATGTTTATTTAGAAGTTGAAAAGCGTATTTAGAAGTTGAAAGAGTGGTTCACCTTATCTGTAAATCTATATAGGACAGGAATACCCCAAGAAAGTGTAGAATGAGATCATTGCTTAACAATGTAAGTATCTAGATACACTTGGCCCTGGCGTAACATGGGTTTGAACTGCATGGGTCCACTTACACATGAATTTTCTTCTGCCTCTGCCGCCCCTGACAACAAGACCAAGCCCTCCTCCTCCTACTGAATAGGACAAAGATAAGGATGAAGAACTTTATGCTATCTCCGCTCACTTAATGAACGCTAAATATACTTCCTCTTTCTTAGGATTTTCTTAACAAGCTTTTCTCTTCTCTTATCTTATGTTATTAAAAGAATGCAATATATAATGCATGAACAAAATATGTTTTAATAAACTGTTTATGTTATCAGTAAGGCTTCTGGTAAAAAGGAGGCTATTAATTGGGAATCAGGAGTTATACGTGGATTTTCCACTGCACGGGGACAATGTCCCTAACCCCAGCGTTGTTCAAGGGGTCAACTATGTATGTGTGTGTGTGTATCTATCTCCGTCTCAATATAACATTTAAACAATGTGAAAACTAAAGAAAAAATATAGCTCTGCTATATTTCTTAATCTTTATTGCTATGTATCTGAATTTTAAATAAAATATATCATTGCCATATATACATTTAGTCAATATCCTGATTTTCCTGTAAGACATTATGCCAAGGCTCTCTTGAGGCCCATTGAGACTCTAAGAGCTTCAATTCAAGGATTCTTTGAATGTTTGACAGTATCCCTTAATATAATAAGCCAATAATTTATAAGCTAATGAAAAAATATATGATATTTTCTCACATTTGAAAAATATCACTTATAAAAGTAAAAGTTTATTTTTAAAAAGTGATATTCTCTCCTGATTATAAGTCTGGTGCATGTTAACACCTTAAAAAAATTGTCAAAAAAAAATATCTAGGGTATTAAAGTCATTCATTCTTAGCAGTGATCATTTTAAAATTTAGTTTTTAGATGAAATTTGATGTCTCATGCAATTGGTCTTTACAATTTCAAAAATGACTTTGTACTATAAAAAATTCCATTTAATATGGAAAGAAAATGGCTTCTGTTTGCCATGACAGTCAAGAATGTAGTGACCTTATCTAATAATGCCTTGCCTTTTAAATGGACTTTTGGGTTTTCTACGGTGGACTGAGCGGGCAGCTGCTGGGGGCAGAAAACGCAGGATGTGGCCAGATAAGCAGCAAGTGCTTGAAGGATCAAAGGTGATTTACGTTAAACTTGGGCCCCATCAAGGCACAGGATGAATTCTTCTGGGGACCATTTGCCCCCACTTTTTTCAAGGCCCTAAGATGCATTCCATTTCTGAAGAGCTATCTGGAAAATACTGCGGGGGGGGGGGGGGGGGGGGGGGGGCGGGGAATAGCCTCGGGAATTAGGTGAAAGAGTGGATCATCACAGTTCCTCACTGCTACAGATCAAACATGCGTTCTAGGACGCAGGCAGCAGAGGTATTTTCTCTTGCATGAAAAGGTGAGAGGTCCCTAATTAGTTTTAGCACCAACAAATTATTTAAGAAAAGCCACCACATGGAATCCTCATTTACAGATTGAGGACTCAGGGAATAGATCCTTTAGTTTTGCTTTTAAATGTTTGTTTTTGACCTTGTTAACATCTTCTTGTATTTTTTTCCAAATTATTCCAGATTCTGAAGAGAATACATTTGTATGCTTCAAAAACTCAAAAAGTACAAGGGTTAGCATTGAGAAATCGCCTTCCCAGGCCTGCCCCTAGTCACCCGCCAGTATATTCCTCCAGAGATCCAGCAGCAAAGGAAGCTAAAGATGAGAACGGACCCTTCCAGGGTTCACTGATACATCACTGTGTGGGAGGCCTGTCTAGATAAAAGGTGCTAGAGCAGAGGAGGTAGGGCTGTCGCCATTTATTAACCAGCTCAAATCTGCAGGGAGTTAGGCGACGGGGGTTTCCAAGGGAAGGCTGACTTGGTAGAAGTGTCTGACACTAATGAGAAGAAAGGAGAGCTGCTGTATATCTAGGCTGCATTTAAAGGGCAAGGTAGTGATTCATCGTATTTATTCCTCCCCCAAGACAGGCTGGGGCTAACAGTACCACGTATCTTCTATATGAGCAATTTTCCAAATACAAAACATTACCATATTTTTGTATTATTTTGATTAGAAAATGTACAGTTTACCCAAACTTTTTCCTCTTAAAAGCAACACTGAAAACAACTTGAAAATCCTAAACATGACTTCTGTGTCTCCGAGCCAAAATATTTCCCTACTGGAACTCAGCTCTAATGATGTCATGTAAATTAATGGAAGCCTAGCAGTAGACATTTGCTTTATTGCCAAGTTTTAAAGAAAACTTAAGCAAGGCATATTTATTTTAGTGATATGAATATTTAATTCTTCCTTATCTGAAAAGGCATTTTAAAGAGTATTAATCAATATACTTTTTGGAAAATTTTTAATGTTTACCCTTGATGTCAGCTGTTCCTCCCTCCGAAACTCAACTGTTTGCATCTGTTAATATTTACTTAAACAATGCGGATATCAATAGACGATGAAACACAGGAAGCATAGCCTAAATTTCTCTAAATGAGTTAAGTAGAGAAAAATAGGCAATAGGCTTCTGAAGGTCAGAGGAGATAGAAAAACATACTATGTATCTACCCTAATTAAACAGCTTGACACAGGCAAGGATAAACAAACAGCTCATTAGAACATATTGAAGAATGCAGAAACGGATCTATGTATATATTACAAGAGAATTTCACATGCCATTTCCCAATTACCCGGCTGCTCCAGTCAGCTCTATGTCACCAAAAAAATATCCAGCCACCTTTTTATGATCAATTACAAGTGTCACATTCTAGCATTCACTTTTCCTGACCCGGACAGAGTGGAAGGGATAAATGAGACAAATTAAGTCTGGCTTGAAATGGGCATGTTATTGGTCCAACTATGACTGCAATGGAATAAAATCCTCAAACAGACAAAAATCCTACACATTCAGATTGTTGGGAGGCCCTGCACATGCATACACAATTAAATAGGACACAGGTGGAGTAAATAAATAAAGAAGAAATACAGTCATTTCTTGGTATTCACAGAAGATCAGTTACACTCAGGATCCCCGGGGATACCAAAATCCACAGATGCTCAAGTCTCTCATACAAAATAATGCAGAGTATTGGCATATAACTCACACAGAGCTTCCCGTATACTTTAAACCATCTCTAGATTACTTATAAAACCTAATACAATGCAGGCTATAGAAGTAGCTATAATACTGTATTTTAAAATGTGCAGCCAGGCACAATGGCTCACTCCTGTAATCCTAGCACTCTGAGAAGCCAAGGTGGGTGGAATGCTTGAGCTCAGGAGTTTGAGATGAGCCTCAGCAATAGTGACATCCTGTCTCTACTGACAAAAAAGAAAAAACTGAGGCAAGAGGATCTCTTGAGCCCAAGAACTTGATGTTGGTGGGAGTTATGATGCCATTCTACTCTAGTCAGGATATCAGAGTGACACTCTGTCTCAAAGAAAAAAAAAATTTGTATTATTTTTATTGTTTCTATTGTTATTTTAAATTTATTTAAAAAAATATTTTGTAAGGCCGGGCACAGTGGCTCATGCCTGTAATCCTAGCATTCTGAGAGGGTGAGGCAAGAGAATCACTTGAGCTCAGAAATCTGAGACCAGCCTGAGCAAGAGCGAGACCCCATCTCTACTGAAACCAGAAAAAACTAGCTGGGTGTTATGGTGGGTGCCTGCAGTCCAGCTACTTGGGAGGTTGAGGCAAAAGGAATTCTTGAGCCCAAAGGTTTAAGGTTGCTATGAGCTAAGATGCCATAGTACTCCACCAAGGGTGACACAGTGAGGCTTTGTCTCAAAAAAAAAATTTTTGTTTTGGATCATGGTTGGTTGATCCTGTGTATATGGAAGGCCAGCTCTGCCCCTAAAAGACAGAAGAGTTTCTTCTGCACAACAGACATCAACATAGGAGCAACAGCCGCAGAGCAAGGCCCCCACGGATTCAGGGACGGGTTTGCTGTTAAATGATAAGGCTATAGACTGCTATTCCATCATCCCGTGACATGCTCCCTGGCACAGAGCACCACCCTCCTGCCCTGGAATAGCAGCACCAGGATGTATGGCTGCCCTGCAGAGGCTGTTTCTAGCCCAGGGGTTGGGTTCAATATTTGTTCCCCTGAAAGACCTACTGTGATCTGCTTCATGTGATCACTGTCATGGTATTTTTTTAAAAAATCAATTCAATTCTTCAAGATTGAACTGGTGTGCAAACTTTTAGAAACATACCTGTTATAGAGAACAAAGCACATATACCAATCAGATGGAAATAAAAACACCTGCGGAGTGCAGGCCTCAGACTATGGGAGCCCTCAGGTCCCTTCTGATTTTAGTAGCCTGTGAAAGAAACTGAAGAGTGCTGGGAGGGAAAATGGCAGGAGGACACCAATCTCCTGGGACCCCGGTGAAACCTGCACTCTTCTTCTAAGTTGCGTCTTCTGAAAAGCCAGCTTCCATGTGAAGTTATGTCAACGTACATGCCCACATGGACTCTCGCCAATATCTATCTATTCTGGGTGTACAACTTCAAATAACCCTGCTCAAGAGCTGAATGTATGATGTTAGTACTTGTCTTTTGGCTCAGAAAATAAAACTAAGAAAGGACCCGAAATGTAGCCCTTTGGAATGATTCAGAATTCTTTGAAAGAAAAAAAAATTAATTTTAGAATAAACTGTGGTATATGTACACCATGGAATACTATGCAGCCATAAAGAAAGATGGAGACTTTACCTCCTTCATGTTTACATGGATGGAGCTGGAAA